GAGGGAAGGTGGGGAAGGGTGGAGTGGGAGAAGAGATCAACAAATGAACTCCTATACATATATGCATAACCCAGGGCACAGACAGCGGGTGGTGAAAGCTTAGGGGTTGAGGGCAGAGAGACCGAAATGGGGGGAAAAGGGACATATGTAATACTTTCAATAATAAAGGTTTATTTAAAATAAAAAACAAATAAACTATAAAAAAAAAGCTGTGAGTTATGATACTAAGTGGGTCATGTGAATAAACATCATTTTGACAAGATGGTAGATTTGATGATAGAGGAAGATGTTAACCCAGGTGATAATTGTCTTATTAATTATGTTGAATAATCAAGATGTTGGTAAATAATAGTAAGAAGGAGAAGCAAAGACAATATCCCAACTCCAGAGTTTAAGGTTTTAGTGGAAAACCCAACTTCATTGTTCTCCAGGGTTAGCAAAAGTCATTGTTTCATGAGAAAAATCAAAATCAAAGCTGGAGGTCGAAACCGGTTTGGCTCAATGGATAGAGCGTCGGCCTGCGGACTCAAGGGTCCCGGGTTCGATTCCGGTCAAGGGCATGTACCTTGGTTAAGGGCACACACCCAGTGGTGAGTGTGCAGGAGGCAGCCGATTGATATTCCTCTATCATCAATGTTTCTTACTCTATGCCTCTCTCTTCTTCTCTGTAAAAAATCAATAAAATATATATATTTTTTAAAATCAAAGTTGGAGTTTCCAGCTCTGGCAGGGTGACTCAGCTGGCTGGAGCGTCATTCCATCGATCAAAAAGGTCCCGATTTGATTTTCATGAAGGCACATACCTGGGTTATGGGTTCCATCCCTAGTCCGGGCACCTACAAGATAATTCTTACCTCTCTCTCTCTCTCTCTCTCTCTCTCTCTCTCTCTCTCTCTATCTGACTCTCTCTCTGTCTCTTTCTTTCTGATTAAAAATCAATTTTAAGAAAGCTAGAATTATCAAGAATTTAGGGAAATGCAAAGTTGTGCTAAGAGAAGGAGCATAGAACCAGGAAGGAAGTGGAAAGGCATGAGAGAATGCTGACTTGGACTAGGCTGCTCATGATAGAGATGGAGACAAGTAGACAGATAAGCTTTGGGAGTGACTTGCTATTGAACTGAATGGGGATTTGAATGTACTTCCAGAAATTCTACCAATTAGAAATTCACTGGGTTTGCAAGCTTTTTCTATAAAAATTCAAATACATTTAAGAGGCTTAGGTCTCTGGTGAGGGGTAATTTAGTCTGCATTAGTTCCATCAGCTTACTTTTACCATCACCTAGCTGAAGTCAGTCATACTTAAAGAGCTGAGAGTTTTGCTTGGGGAGAAGAATGTTTTGCATAAAGGATATAATCATGTGTAAGGCAGGAAGTGAAGTCTTGGGAAAGGCAGAGGCCTGAAAGATCTTACAGGAGCTGCAGAGATGGTTGACAGCATTTGAGAGCACAGAGAACAAGCAAACTGGCCTTCTCTGAAATTTGCCTGATTGCTTCTTAGAGATAAGTTCCCAATCTTCTTTAAAACTGGGAATGTCTCGTTTCTTGTACTCTTGTTTGAAAAAAAGACATTCCACCAATTTGGAGCAGAGGAAAGAAAATAAATGAAAGCATTAAAAGCATTGACACCTTAGCCTGTGTGACTCAGTAAATTGAGCACTGGCATGTGGACTAAAGGGTCCCAGGTTCGATTCTGGTCAAGGGCACATGCCGGGATTGTGGGCTCCATCCCCAGGAGGGGGCATACAGGAAGCAGCTGATCAATGACTCTCTCTCATCACTGATGTTTCTCTCTCTCTCTCTCTCTCTCTCTCTCTCTCTCTCTCTCTCTCTCCCTCTCCCTTCCTTTGTTAATATTTTACTGATATTATATGATAAAAAGGAATTTTAAAATCTAAAATATTAAAAGCAACCATCAGTGCCATGCGAGATAAATAAATATTATTGATCAATATTTAAAAATAATTTCAATTGTTATTTTAAAGATTTGTTTTATCTTTGTAAGTAAATATCTATAATTTTTAAGTCCAGTCTTATTTAAATACAACAAAAGGTATTACATTTTATTTGTTATTTTATTTTTTTCTTTATGTATTCACAATCTTACTTTTTTAAAAATGACACAGATCCTAAAATGTTCCAAATGCTACCTTCTGAGTACAATTCTGGGTACATTTCAAACATCATGTGTCAGCCACTGCTCAGAGCTAAGATAATACTGCTGGAAAGAATGAGTAATAGCCAAAAATTTGGCTCACTCCTAACCCTGACTTCTTGGATGGTGATCCTGCATTTAAAAAAAGAACAAAAACAACAACTCACAAATGAAATAAAACAATTCTCTGATGTTCCCATATTTCAAATATGGAAAAGAAATTCTTTTTATCCCAAAACAAACCAACAGTAAAAAGCAACAACAAAAAACATTAGTCACAAGTTTGGGCTCATAAAAGAAATTAGGAAGTTTTTTTAAGCAAAGCATTAAATGGCAAGATAAAAATAGATCAGTCTGTAAACCCATAAAAATCCATGGACTGGTGCCCCTGGATGTGAATCACAAGCTGAATGGCAGGTACACTGTGTGCGCTTTGGAATGGAACAGACGGTTAGTCTCTCCGCTGTCTTCGAGCTTTTCTCTGCATCTGGCCCCAGCTCTGTGCTTCCTTCCGCACGTGGAAGGTACCAGCTATGTTTACCGTATGGTCATCCATCCTTTCTGAGCATCCTTATTTCTCTCTACTGCTTAGGATAAAATCTGGGACAACGTGTCCGTATGGGGAAAGCCACTGGAGAAGCACGGAACCTCAGCATTATTGATCATTGCCAATCACTGTGTTTTTATAGATAAGGGAAGTCAAGCACAACCAGGTTGAGAATCTTGCTCAGAACTGTTCATATATTAAGCCTCAGAGCTGAAGCTTCTCAGGTAATCTCTCAGTCTGTGGAGAGACACTTCTCCATTTACCTGTCACATTTCTTCACGTTTTGCAAACATAGGCATTGACCACCTTTGCTCTGAACTATCTTTTCAAAGGCATCTAGATAGCAGATAGCTTTGAAATATAAAGATAGTGCCTCCCTCCTGAGTAGAGAGAAGGCTTTGTCCAATATAACAAAAATAATGTCTCCCTTTGGGGCAAAGGGCAGCCATGCTCCCTGCCCGTTATAAAAGTCCAACTCCCTAAGCTAGGAGTTCCTCTCCTGAACCACAAACCACTAAGTTTACAAGTGTCAGCTGCCTGCTTCTCATCGCCCTGTGGGGCCTGGGCTCAGTGAACCGGGACAAATGCTGGGAGCCTGGGGCAGCCGCTGCTGTAAATTACAGAGTCATTTTTCTCTGAGTCAGGAGCCGCCTGTCTGCTGCTGGCACCCAGGACGCGGTGACAGACTGACTTGTGAGCTTGGGAGGGAGAAGAAATCTCAGAGCCTTCACACTTTTGGACAGAAATCTAAAAGTTTAGTGATAGTCACTCATATCAAAAGAAAAAAAATAATACTAAGCACTAAGAGGCCTGTTGCTTGATTTTTCAAATCTAGGGTGATCCAGTTACCATTAATTAAGCATTATGTGTTAGGGATAATATATAATATGTTTATTGTTCAAATCAAATTATAGCCACACACACACACATACACACACACACACACACACAGAGAGAGAGAGAGAGAGAGAGAGAGAGAGAGAGAGAGAGAGAGAGAGAGAGAGATTTATTTTTTAAATTTCATTTATGTAATGGTCTCATTATCCTCATCCAACAGCAACCTGAAGTTAAGTCACATAGCTAATAGGGGGCAAAGCTAAAACATCTGGTTTCAAAATTTTGTTTTGCCTTCCTCCAAGTAAAACACAGCTAAAAATGGCATGGGCCATTTTAGTTTGAAATGAAATGGCTAAATTGTGTCATATTGTGCTTAGCGTGACAGTCTTACCTTTTAAATAGAACTATTGCAGATGTTTAGGCACTGACATGTTGCTATCTAATATGCATTCAATGTTAAATATTCAGTATTCAGAACAGATACAATGTTATTAATACTGAGTTTATATTATATACTATACAGTCACAGAAAAAGTCTATCACAGAAGCTGTTGTTTTTAAAGTTTAAATCATACAACCATACTGAAGATATATTCTTTTAAAGCTACACTGCTAAGAAAACATGACAGGAGAAGTAATTCTATTTAAAAAGCTATATATCCCATAAACTATCTTGTTAGTCATGAAGATAAATAAAAAATAACACACTAGACAGAGTGGAGAAAGTACATATATCGAGAACTTACAAATGTTCTTAAGAATAAAAAATGTTTGCTCAGCCTATGTGGCTCAGTAGTTGAGTGTCTACCTCTGAACTAAGAGGTAATGGTTTGATTTCCCATCAGGGTACATACCCGGGCTGCAGGCTCAATCCTTAGTGTGAGGTATGTGCAGGAGGCAGCCCATCAATAATTATTTCTCATTAAATATTAAATGGATTTTAAATAAGAAATATGAAGAACCCTTTCATTGATGAGCGTTGAAGGAGACTATAATTTCACCTATGAAGACATATAACATCTGATGTTATTTTCCCACTCTGGGAATCTATGAGAAAATGAGATGGTAATTTTTATCCTACTTTTCTAATGTCAAGACATAGAATTTACTCAGTCAATATCTTGTCTTAAACACAGACAAATTGAGAAGATTTCAGAAAGAGGAAACACATTAATCGTGAGGACATATTTTTTAAAAATAAAGCAGGAAATGTATTAAAAGCAAACATATATGAATAAAATAAATATTTATCTAGAAAGAAAGAAAGCAAAACTGAAAAAAAGCATTAATATTACACTTGTATTACTTATTATGGCGGTCTTTCCATTGGCAAAACCTTGTGGATTCTGGAAGATTTATGATTGTGAAATTGGTGGACAAAGAAGCTCATCTATCAGATGGTGTCTCCTACAGATGCCTACATATTTCACATGTTTATGCATAGGGAAGCAAAAGAAAGCTTACCTGGAAATCTTTGAATTATTTCACATAAGCCTTCCTTTCTGCAAAGCTGATGCTGTATTTCTGGTAATATGTTTACCTGGAAGGAATGAAAAAGATTCTAGTGAGCTGGGCATTCAAAAATGCTCAGGCAAAGGCAATGCCATCCACACTCTACCCTCAAATCTCTGCAAGTCAGCATTTAGATCCAGAATAACAGAGTGGTCTACTGGGTAACATAAAATTAAAACCTGGCCCTCAGAAATCTTCAAAATATTTGGGGATACTTTAGAAAAACCTAGACTTATCTCAAAGCCATGGTCTTTGCTAGAAATAAAAGGGAATACTATGTCCTTATGGCAAATACAAATAACCTCATAGTTTCAAATTTAACTTTGGCCAAAAAATAGCACTAAGCATAACATACCTCAAAGTAAGTCAACTACAGTGCAACATTCCAAAGGCCCTCAGCGATTTGAGACCCATACTGTGGAGATTCAGTGCTAAACCTATTTCAACACTTCATCCCTACTTTTCACTTCGTACTGAAGGGCATTCATTATTGCTTCCAAATATAAAGCCCAGCTATCTACTTTAACAAAAATGTCTTCTTAAAAAGCCTCATAAATATGACCACAAATTCAAATATGTACTCTCACTTGAAAAGGTCCAAACAAGCTAATTCTCCCCTCCCCTGAATTTACAGGTTGGCTAGCTAGCTATTATCAACACAATCTCAAAAATAATTCCAAATATGGTAAAGCCTTCTTAAAACCAACAGAAAGAGGTAAGTGTAAATTTCTTTGAATATCAGATTCATTTTGAACAGTGATCGATTATTCTCAAATTAATTCACTCTAACTAATAAAATACTGGAGTTTCTCTACTTGGTCTTGCCAGCATGATTAGATGAGAAGAACGTGGGTGCAGTTGGAGAAAAGTGAGGGACCCAGGGACAGGGCTTGTGCTCCCACTTCTCCCGCCCAACAGTATGGTAATCTTGAGTCTACCACTTGGCTTCTCTTTCTCACTCTCTCAGTTTGTAAAATAAAGCAGTTACAGCCTTGGGTCTTTAAGTTCCACTTCTGCTTTTAAATATTATCAACCCAATAATTCAATCATGGCTCTAGTTTTGTTTTGTTTTGTTTTGAAATATATTTGTATTGACTTCAGAAAGGAAAGGAGAGGGGGAGAGAGATATAAACATCAATCATGAGAGAAAATCATTGATCGGCTACCTTCTGCAGGCCCCCTACCGAGACCATGCCTACAATCAGGGCGTATGCCCTTGATCAGAATCAAACTCAGAACTCTTCAGACCTCAGGCCAACGTTCCATCCACTGACCCAAACCACCTAGGGCTTATTTTGTTTCTTTAATGGTTCATTTAAAAAGCGCCTTAAGCTTTGAAATAGTGCGTCAATTATTCTCCAACCACTGCAATCCCCTTAACTTCTCTTCATTTGTTCAGTAAAATGTAAACTTCAGCACCGATCACCTATGAATGAAGCCCAGACTTCAGCTGACCCCACTCTGTGAAATTGCACCAGCAACATTCCTAAACACTCCATTAGAAAGTCTACAAAGATACAAAAGTCTGAGCCACTTCCTAGTATGTTCTTATTGCACCGGGAACTGAGAAAAGAGTGTAAATATAGTGTGTGATAGACTTTAGAGGTGTCTTCATGTCTTAAATTCGAAAGTATGACAATTCAGAGACTAAATGTAGGGGGGAAATGGTTTCATAAAATCCTGACGTTTTCCATTCAGAATTCCTAAAACAGGCTGGACAGAGCACTGCAAAAATATGGGAAATTCATACCAAATGTTTGAGGTATTTTTTCTCCCCTTTACGTTAGCATATAAAAGCATCTTTCGGATGTAAAAAGCATCTGAAGGCAATAAACTTGAACCATTTATCCCCACAGCAGGAAAAATGACTCAGTTGCTATTGACTAAATAAAACCTTTAACAATAGAAGAGCCAGCATTAGGTAAGTAATGTGAAAGACTGGGTTCTGGCACAGGTCTGGCTGAAAACTGTCTCTCACTTCTTGAAGGGCTCAGAGCAAATGCCTAAAGCATCCTCGGTCCCATTGTACTGCAGACAGGATGGAAAGTCTTGGTAACATGAGTTACAAAACTCACGGGCCAAAACATCTTGTGTAGATGCTGCAAAGATAGTGCACAGCATGCTCAGTCTTCACACAAAAGGGCACTTGGCAATGTCTCATCAGAGAGATGACTTTTCTTTTTCTTTTTTAAAACATATTTTATTGATTTTTTTTACAGAGATGGATAGAGAGGTAGAAACATTGATCAGCTGCCTCCTGCACACCCACTACCAGGCATGTGCCCCCAACCAAGGTACATGCCCTTGACCGAAATCAAACCTAAGGCCATTCAGTTTGCAAGCCAACTCTCTATCCACTGAGCCAAACTGGTTTCGGCAGAGAGATGACTTTTCATGTTCAACCTTGGATCAAAAGGATGAACTGGCTCAGGGTCAACAAAGCACTTGCTTTAGAAATTCAGAGCCAAGCCACAGGAAGTACCTGCTCACCCTCTTCCGCCTTCGATTTTCCCACCCCTCACCTAGTGACCTCTTCCCAGGCTCTTTCCTCTGAAGTAAATCTTTGGAATTCAGAGTCATGGCAGATGACATAATCATGGTGACACGTGACACCAGAAATACCATCTCCGTTCTAATCTGGAACTGAGCACCAAACTGAGCAGTTCAACGAAATAAACACACTCCAGGGCAATGGGTCACACAGCTATGGCAAATCATCTATGTTACACACATTTTAACTTTTTAATTGTTAAGCCTAATAACGTTTTTCTGTATCTAGGGCTTTATGTTCTTTTTTGTTTTATGTACATCATAAAATTTATGATTTGCATCATTCTCAAGTGGAACATCATCAAAGAAGTTTTTACTTGGTTAGCTAACTTTTATAAGATGAGCTTTCCAGCTTCAGACTGCAATAAATATTTTTATCAAGCTTTATTTTGGGGAGTAGGTGAGGTTCAGTTTGCCCACCAGCCCCACACATGCACAATCTCCCCCATTATCAGAACCCTCCTGCCCCTCCAGTGGTGATTTTGTTACAATTGATTAATCTATACTGACACATCATAATCACCCAAATAGTCATTTTTATACCCATTTTGTATTGGGGTTGAGTGCTTTACAATGTGTGTGTGTGTGTGTGTGTGTGTGTTTTATAGACAGCTGTTCTGATATTTTCCTTAGCATAAAATCTTTCATATTTTTGAAAAAATTATAATGAATATAAAATGATAATGACATTTGAGCCTGCAACATTTCTGAGATCAAATTGGGACAACAAAAATGTGCATTTTTAAAAATATATTTGTAAATATATATTTTTTTTTATTTCAGAGAGATAGATAGAAACATCAATGATGAGAGAGAATCATTGACTGGCTGCCTCCTGCATGCCTCCTACTGGGGATCAAGTCCCAAACTGGGCATGTGCCCAATCATAATCAGTGATAATCTATATCTAAATTATTTTATTATATACTAGAGGCCCAGTGCACAAAATTCGTGCATGGAGTGGGAGGGAGTGTGTGTGTCCCTCAGGCCAACCTGCACCCTCTCCAATCTGGGATTCCTCAAGGGATGTTCAACTACCTGTTTAGGCCCGATACTGGTGGAACTGGGCCTAAACGAGCAGTTGGACATCCTTCTCACAATCCAGGGCTGTTGGCTCTCAACCATTTGTCTACCAGCCAGATCACCCCCTAACCACTCCTCTACGAGCCTGATCAAACCCTAACCACTCCTCTACCAGCCTGATCGACTCCTAACTGCTCCCCTGTTGACCCGATTGCCCCTAACTGCACTTCCCTGCCGGCCTGGTTGCCCCAACTGCTCTTCCCTGCCAACCATCTTGTAGTAGCCATCTTCTGTGTTGGAGTGATGATCAATTTCCATATTACTATTATTAGATAGGATATTGTCCGAATCAAAAGTAAAAATCATTCTTAGTTGAAACCTTTACTTAATAAGTGCAACAGTATAGTATTAATTATAAACACTTAAAAGTGTTTTAAATAATTTTTTTTAAAAAACCTAATAATACAGTAACTTATTAGGGAGAATAGGCATTTAAATGTAGACTATTTATAAAGTGTAAGAAAACACCCAAGTAATAAAAAATCTTTTAGTCACTTGTGAACAATGAGAGTACACACATTTCATAGTGTATCTTTCTTAGGGAACTGCTCTTTTTCTTCACTAGATGTATACAGACTTTTATTCCTTTTATTTTTATCAAAAATAGGATCTCTGAAAGCTGTTCAGTATCATCCATATAGAAAAGAATGATGAGAAGCAACAAATCAAAGAAAAAAAAGTCCTTTTATCCCCCATGTTTCTAACATACAATTATCATTCCATCAAATTCACCTGAAAGTGTCCTTTCATACCTTCCTTAATGTAAGAGCCCTCTCAGTGGTTCTCAGCGTTCCAAGTAGAACTAAAAACAGCATCCTGGGCTTAGGGGTTGCTAATCCCACAAACATTTAGAGCTAGAAATCAATCCCTCATCTCAGGAAATACTAGAACCTGTCTGTCAGAGGTGAGATACAGCCCCAGTTACTAAATTTAATGCTACCCCAACTAGTGGACCTCGCTTCACTTTCCGTATCACATGGACCAACACAGTTTTAAATTTATGTTACTTTCTCCCTGACTAGAGAGACTCCTGACCATTCATTTTCTGTAACAGATTGATGATCATTTTCATTAAGCACTTAAATTCCAAGCCTCTAACACGATTAGTAATTTTAATTTGAGCAGATGCCCTTTCTTTGTTAACTTCACAGTTACTGACTCCCACAACACCATCAAGCAATTTGAAACAACTGTTTTATTTTTGTTTTTTCTTTATTATTGTAAATATTATAGATATCCCACTTTCTTTTCCCCCCTCACCCTACTCCAGGCCTTCATCACATTATTGTCTGTGTCCATGGGCAATGCTTATATGCATACAAATTCTGTGAGTAATCTCTTACCACTTCCTCTGTTCCCTTTGAGGTTCACCAGTCTGTTCCCTGCTTCCACGCC